GATAAAACTCTCCTAGCAGGAGAAAACATGGAGTAAATATGTAAACTAACAGATTGTTTTTTACTGTGCCCGTGACTTCTTTCAACTTGCACCGCATAACTGAACACCCAGTGCCAGGCGACTCGCCTTCCCGCGCTTCCTTTTTAGTCACATTTTAACCGTCCCTAATGCAGTGGAGTGCAAATATGATGCTTAGGGTGTATAACCTCCGTTACGCCGGCACATTATGTGGGAGTCGTAGTAGTTAGTGTACGTTCTCGACTTCATCTGCTGGGATAAACCTGCTATTTTACGTCGTTTACGTCACGCACAGTGATCACTTGCATGACATGTGAAAGTTCGTACTTCCGTAGCCTCCCTCCGTTTCTGTCACTCCCTGATATGCAGACCTGTCCTATGGTGGACAATGCAACGCTTTGACCGCTGGTGCTGTGTTCCAGTACAGTTTGGGAGGATAAAACTCTCCTTGCAGGAAAAGACATGGAATAACTATGTAAATCAACGGTTTGTTTCTGCCTTTTGTTTATCAAAATATCTCCCCTTTGTGTATTTTCTTATTGATCTTCCGTCGCCCTTGCTTCTGTTGAGGTATTTAAGCTCACTGTAACATGATAAGCTTTATCGGGTAGCAGTAAAATTGTGCGAGATAGTACGCTGACTGCCTCTAGTTTTCATCCACTATAGTGTCCCCAACTCTTTCACTTCTTGGCCAAAATCCGCCTTGATTTTCTATCCACTGACGTGAAGATGGCACCTACTGAGACACACTTCTAACCCGTGCCTTTCTTTTTTCTTTTAGGAATATTCTCACACGCCCTCAAAGCCCTCGACACGTCCTCCGAGGTAAACGGAGTGCCGATATTCTTTCTGATAAGCGTGTGCTTTTACCTGTTTTTTTTTACCCACGGGACCTGTGAACGGCCGAGGGATCGACACCGTGTTACTTGATACGACTGCGTTCTTGTCCATGTTTGGACTTGCGACCACGTCGTTTTACGGCACTTTACCGTTATTCCGCTCAATCCCCGCCCCCTATCCCTTGGCATGTGACTAAACACAATTGTACATAGCCATCGCATCCCGATAACACTTTGGCTGGTGGATCAAACCAAAGGAGGGTAGGCAGTGCCACTTTCCATGCGGCGGAGCTGTGTGTGCAGCCGGCTTTGTAATACACAT